GATTTCTCTGCAGAGATCTAACCTCTCTTTGAAAGCGTTCACCGATGGAACTTATAATACTGAATCAGGTAAGGAGTTCCAGTCGTTGACCACTTGGCGAGAGAATCTAAATTCTTCAAGTATTTTAATCGTCCTCGATTTGAGCACCTTTTTGCGGTGACCCCGTGAATGTACCCTAGAAGTGGGGAGAAGTTTAGAAAGGTCAGTTCCTAAATCACCCTTAAGTATACAATATGCTAAAACTAAGTCGCCTCTATTCCTTCAATATGATAACGGGAAGAGATTTAAATGCTTCATCCTCTTATCATAAGGAAGGTGTGAGATACCACTAACTAATTTCGTTCCTACTCTCTGTACTGCTTCCAGGATATGTGCCTCCTTTTTGAAGCATGGATCTGCCGCTTGTATGCAGTATTCTAGATGAGGCCTGACAAATGTTGCGTAGGGTATTTGGAACATGCCCTCGTCTAATCGTTTGAAAGCCCTTCGAAGTGCCCATAGCATTCGGAAAGCCTTAGCTGCGGCTGCATTGCAATTTGCAGTTGTTTTCAAATCATTGCTGACAGTGATTCCTAAGTCCTTCTGTTCGTTAACATCAGGTAGTTCCGTGAGCCACGACGTATTAGACTTCTGACCTAATTGCATTACCGCGCTTTTCCTAGTATTAGTTTCCAAACTCCACAGGTTCGACCAATTAGCTAATTTATCTAGATCACTTTGTAGGGCCGACCTATCATCGTTATTATTTACAGTTTTCCATATCTTAATGTCGTCCACAAATAATAATGAAGATGAAGTAAGAATCCCCGGTAGCTCATTAACGTATAATAGGAATAGCAAGGAGCATAATACAGTCCCCTGAGGCACTCCAGTGGATACTGCTTTCCACCATGATAATACACCGTTAACTCTAACCTTCTGCCTTTTATCCCCTAGGTAATTCTGAAACCACTCACATAGGCATTGGTCTAGTCCGAAACCTTTAAGTTTACTAAGGAGACCTAAGTGGGATACTTTGTCGAATGCCTTACTAAGATCGATAAACCCACGTCCACCAGGAGGTTTTTATCTCTGGCCTCGACCCAATTTTCTTTAGCTAACAGTAAGTTTGTCAAGCAGGATCGTCCTGGTCGGAATCCATGCTGTTCCACTGCCAGCAAGCCATGTTTTTCAACATAAGCTAATAACTGATCCCTTATAATGGTTTCCATTACCTTTGCTAGTATCCATATCAGACTTACCGGCCTGTAGTTAGATACCAATTGCCTGCCCCCCTCTTTGAAGATAGGGCTTATAATGGCATCCTTCCAGTCCCTGGGTAGCTTAGCCTGGGTCAGAGACATTTTGAAAATCTCCGCAAGCGGAATTTATATTATATCCGCCTAGGAAATTAACAGTTTAGTGTGAAGTCCATCAGGCCCAGGTGATTTACCTAGCTTCAGTTTAGACAGTAGTTTGAGGACCTTTCTGTGCTTTACCACAATTTAGGGCATCGGAGTGGCGATGGCAGTGACCTCAGCATATCCCTAGGTGGTACTATCAGACGAGAAGACGTCACAGAAGTATTCAGAGAGGTTTTCAGCCTTTCCTCCGTCTGACTCAGCCGCTTCTCCACTAATGCTTATGAGTGACGGTATACCATTGCTAGTTTTAGTCCTACGTTTAATATACGAGTAGAGCCTTTTTGGGTAATGAACGCAATCTAGTACAAGCCGTCTCTCGTACTCTATACGACTCTTGTTAATCGCATACTTACAGAGATTTCGAATTTTGCGGTAGTCTTTCTGGAAATTTTCCCTTCCTGTCATAATAAATTGGACCCATAAGTTCTTTCGCCGTCTTAATAGCCTCCTTATTTCACTAACAATCCAAGGTGGCTTGTGCAATAGCTTTCGAGGAGTGCATCAAGGTATAAAAGGTGAAGTGACACAATCTAGTGTATTCCTAAATCCTACCCAAGCTTCCTCGACAGTCCGACTTGTATCTACTGACCAGTCAACTGCAGTTGCTGCGTTCCGGATTCCTTATATATCCGCTTTCCAAATGTTTGGACGAGCAGATTTTGACCTGTGTAGGAAAGAATGAATCTTAAACGTAAAAGCAATGACTATGTGGTCACTTCTGCCAAGCGGCGGAAGGCACCTGATGTTACCAACGTTCTCCTTCTGGTATGTTAATACCAAGTCTAGAGTAGATGGATCATGTTCCGGGTGATACCGTGCTGGTGCATGCATATGTTGCACGAGTGCACATTCAAGCACTGTCAATGTGAGCTCCCTATTGAAACAGGAGTTTAACTCCCCCCCCCCCAATTAATGTGTGGAGCATTAAAGTCGCCAACAACCAGACACCTATGTCTACTACCCCACGGCCTCAAGTGATTTAGAACGAAGTCATCAGCTTGGCTAGCAGGACTTCTGTAAATAACTCCGATCGTTAAAGTGCCTTTGTTCAAGTTAATGACGCAACTTGCGGCTTCATTGGTGCCGCTGTCATGAGCTTCTGACAACGTTGACCTAATCCCTATGTCATCGCGGATGTATAGAGCAACCCCCCACCTTTCCGACTACTTACTCTGTCTGCTCGAATGCAGATGTACCCAGGTATGAGTGGAGTTAAGTCTACACCCACTAACAACCATGTCTCAGTGATAGCAATCACATCAGGTTGTAGTCTTTCAGATAATTCTCCTAATTCGGCGAGCTTATTCCTAAGACTACATGCGTTCGTATAGCACACCGAAACACCTACGTGTTCATCCGGCTTATGAAGAGAGGTCTCGGCAGCATTGGTTTCCGAGACCTCACCACCCGAAAACCCCATAGCTTGAGGTCTGCCTTTCTCTAGCCTGGCCTGTAGTTCAGCCACGGCTTCTCCTCTTTTGATTCTATCTTCTATAGGCCAATCAGGCCTTATTTTTAAACTTTTATCGTTGATTTTGAACGCGTTGTTGAGGATGGTGCTTCTCTGTTTCGTTTCCTAAAACTATCTTAAGTAGTCGTCGAGAAGTTTCTATAGCATCAGGGTTTCGTTTTCCGATCCTGATGGCTTTTCTTATGTGAACTTCAATTGTTTTTTCGGGAAGTATTTCCCGGATAATGGAGCTAACCGCCTTCAGATCATCTGCATGTCGGGCAGCTGGATCTGTGTTCTTAGATTCCTCCAAAGTCCAGATGATCACACTGTAACTAGAGTCCGTGGGTTTCTGAGTTAAGCTGGTATTAAAAGCCGTCGAGACCTTGTTGGCAAACTCGGTTACGGTTTCTTTCCTATGTTTATTTTGCTTCTTACCTGTCGGCACCAACCAAGTGGAGTCGGTTTCTTCCACTCTGTTTTCGCCGCGACTAGAAGCCATTCGTGCACTCGATACGCTGCGCTTTGGCGTGGCCATTTCATAGGCTGTTGTTGTCATGCTGGCACTACTTACCCTTTTGGATTTCCTTTGTCTTTTGCGCTTTGCCGCAACAGATATTTGGGTACTCTGTGCCTCTTTTGCCTCTGAAGCTTCAGGTGGTGATACACCCTCAGTTTTAAAACTATGTCCTGAACCGCCATTCTTGGCTAAGATTTCTGGTGCAGGCTTTTCTATTATGTTTCTCGAAAATTTCTTGGACATCAGGAGTCCCACTGCCTCTTGGATGAGGACATCCAACAGGTTACTGCAAAATTTGCACAGCCACGGAGATGATGGCTTGCAACATCTCTTATAGGCTACTGGTGATAAACCAGTGCAAACCTTGTGGAACCATAGGCCGCAGTTGTCACACTGCATCCCATCATCCACCGGAAAGTGGCAGTTCGGTCGTCCACAATTGTTAGTCGGACCCATAACGCTAATTTGTTTCAACAACACAAATATATGTACGTGAAAATGGTGAGGTAAATACCAACCAAAACACAAAATGTAAACAAAATGAACAACACTTCAACTAAATAAATCAGTTAAAGTGAACTAAAAAGCTTCTGATGTGGTTTAAATAACAAAAGCAGAATTTACTTCACAACGTAAAAATACCACTCTCCTTTTCCAAAGAGCGCGCGATAAATACATATACATATTTTTGATTGCACACTAGTCACTTACTAGTGTAATGTGTGTAGTCATATCTTCGCTGCAGACTGAATTCTATCAGTCAAGCTTGCAATGTGACCAGCATGCTAGGTGGCTCGCCATTACGGTGTACTATAAATTGTTGGTATTAGATGGTTGGAGGCAATCGACAGGAAGCCTTGGACTTAAGTTTCGTGCTAAATACGGCAGCTCCAACCTTGTGTCTCCTCAGGTAAAACAACAAGTCTTTTCAGAAGACTTTATGCACGTACGTCTAAGTATAAAAATTCCACTATACCATATTTGGCGGCACATATTTTATGTGATGAAAATAGTGTCAGGCATGAACTAACTAACCTTCTTTGCACTAGTAAATAAACCATTTTCTCCAACCTTACAACATCAACCTTCATTGTTATTGTACTTCTTATATTTATAATCCTCTAAAATTTTTGTTTTTAATTGTTTGTTTTCTCCTATGTGTGAACATCATTTAAGCTGCGTTATAACTGTTATTTTTCATCTTTCTCCTCACCATACCATATCAACAGAACATTAGACTCAATACTCTATAACATGCTACAATTTTCAAACTGAATCAACAATAGTGTTTGAAACAAACTCACTATTATTACTATTATATTTAATATTCTAAATTCGTACTTCGAATATTTTGACTTATATCGTAAATGGGGACAAATTCCTCTGGTTAATTTTGTTCTAATTTTTAATTTTATTTATATTTTGAGTAAATCAGATGCAATATTGTGACAAATGCTGAGAATTCCATTCTGTATTGTGAGTATTGTTTTTGGAATAAAGTAGATTATTATTATTATTAATATTATTAATTCTCCTCATATATTGGCTAAAAATGAATCTAAAATGATATTCTGATTGGTAACGACTGACTTTTAATATTTTTTCTCCTGTTTAGTTCCATGAATCAATGACACGATCAAACTATTACGATGAAATAGCCTACCTGATGGCTAAGATTCATACATGGTAATTAATTATTTATTTCAATTTATTTATTTATTTTTCACCTCTATAATAAAATAAAATCAAAGTAGAGAAAAACGCATGGAATTAATGAAAGAGTATGCATCAATAGAGCATAGTGATCCATACAGGTAAAAAAAAAAGCAACATAATGTAATCATGATAAATGTGTTTCTTTTTTCAAACTATTGAACATTGATAGAAATGATTCTTTTTATAATCAAGTTATTCAATATAAAATTGATTTAAATCGAATTTATGATAATATTCAAAAAGTGGAAAAAAGGCACGCAGATTTAAAATGTCAATTTGAAAGAAGAATTCAACATGATAACAATGCAAAAGTACACGATAATGCATTAAATACCAGGGAGGTAAGTTTTCTCATTATTCCCTTGTTCAGCATAAATTGTTTTGTTAATTTTATTTATTTTTAGTCGTCTTCTATGCCATTATCAGGAGTCACACCTTCATTACTGGATAAAAATGGAAAACATGCTATCATTGGTGAAAAATCAGTGACAAATATACTTAAACCACAGCTGAGTGGATTATCAACTTCAACAGGTCGTAAATCAATATTTGCTGATCGACATCATGATAAAATTCAGAATAATAGGAAGAAAGATACAGGTGTTTCATGTTCTCAGGTAAGATTTTTGAAAGGGAATTAAAAAATATGTATACATAGTGATTGTTATGGCGTGTAGAAACAGTTTTACAAAGATGAGAATTGATGTTATGTGTGTAGGGAAATATCTCAGGGTGAACAAACACGAACACTTGACTATGTCTTTTATCCTAATTCCCCACATATGCACATCGACAAGCCTGTAGAAGGTTGAGAGTAATGACTTAGTGTGTATTGATAATCCAGTGGGCTGAAATCACCCTTTCCATTCTCATCTAGGGTTGTGATATATTGTGAACGTAGCCACATAATACTGATACGTATTCACCATTGTTTATGAGTTCATCAAAAGGGATAGCTCACTGATTCACCCTGAGACTTCGTAAAATCCAATGGTTGGGGTCGCGCTAAATCACGAATTGGTAGAAGTTAGAATTCATGCACTGGTCAGTGAATCGGGTCCCAGTGGCTGAATGGTATACGAGCTTGCCTTGCAACCGGAAGGTCCTGAGTTCGAATCCCAGTGGGTGCGTACTGCCGATTATTCCCAAACTAGGATGAAACAGCAGCTGTCCAGTACTCCCTGGTTTTCAATGGTTCTCTAACTGATATCAGTCCGTGATCAACTCGCAAAAACATAACCAACCCTTACAAACCAAGCTATAGAAGATATTTATATATTTTTGTGCACATTATTATTCGTTATTGTCAGCAAAGAAGCAACGTCTTCTGATTGGTTGTTTTCCTGCTGAAGGTTATTCTGTCATCTCTTTGTTGCCGTTTCTTAGACAGTCTGTTGATATCTCTGCTAATCGTATCCTCCCACGCTAAGTCTGCTATGATTGGTTGTTGAGTTAGTCTTTGTTCTTGTTTTTTTTCTCATGACCAAGATATGGGACGTAAACATTGACGTCAATTGCTGACTACCAATTTTGGCTAGCAGACAGCTCTCACCACAACAGGATGTTAGGTGTACTCCAAATTAAAGAGGTTCGAAATGTATTACTGGTTCATATGACTGGTTAGAAACCATTGACATCAAACACTTATGTTAGCTAGGCAGGTCAGAGTTACCTAAACAACTGATGCTCACTTCATTTGTTCCTGAGGGAGTTCATAAATGGTGAACTCAGCTTCAAGAGCCGATTCAGCTGAAACCAGCTAAATTTAGGCTATATGTTTCAGGAAACAAGTAATGTATAGAAATGAATTCGTCTTTTGTGCGTCGGTATTTCATATGTAGAATACTCACCAACTAACCGACATGGCTTGCGGTTCTATCCATGGCCGATGACACATTCCTTAACCTGGCTTGGCCGATAGCAGACCTGGTAAAGAGGGGAGGTTGGGCGTGAGACTAGCAACCCCACCCTTGTAAAAAAATAAGCATTACTCCTAATGAAACTTCAAAGATCCAAACCGAAGCCCGATGTTTCACTGAGAATGCAGAGGAATAAAGTCATAAAAATGGGATAATTCGAGGTGAAAATTTTAACTGTTTGTATCAATCAGGATGTATGTATCATATCGGTCGAGTGCTTGTTTTCCTGATTCTGTCAAGCCCATGATATATATTTTTTATACTTGGCTTCCTTGATAAACGTCGGTGAAGAGGGGTTCTCATCAGCTGCAAACTAACATTAGTTTGTAAGTTCATATAACAACTCAAAAAGGTTATAGTCAATAAGAATAAAAAGTTTTCTCAGTGAGGTGATATCAATATAATCATGACCGAAATGCAGTTAGTTATCAAGGGAGTGAAGAAATTATCACATTCTGTTTCTGTATGCATAAGTTTGGTTTGCTCCAGCAAATCGTAGTGAAATTTGCAGTCCTTTGTATATTTACTGTTTTGAATGATTTAGAAATCTTGAAAAAATGACCCGTATCCATCCACAAGGTGTCTGGTAATTGCATTTTGTGAATATTTGCTTCCCCGTGGACATAATTTCCTTGGAATACTTCTTAGAAAACTGGAGATTGAAGCTATTCTTTCTGTCCTTCTGTTACATTTGCCACCGCAAGTGTACGTAAATTTATAAACGTAGTTGAAGATGATATCAGTAGGGTACTTATCAAGTTCAGATTGTCTTATTGAGCATATGGTGCTGCATAGTGTTATGAGCTTAGCTTCAGAGAGGCATCTTTTTATTGTCGCTTTCATTCTGGTTTCAATCTTCTGTGATACTGCTTTTCCTTTGAGTGTGTTGTCTGGTCCCAGTTTGGCGTTCATGTCTCTCATTAGTATTTTAATGTCACCAACTGGAGTATTGTCCATTGTTGCCTGTAGTTGTCTGTAAAACTCTTCTTTCTTCTCGAGATCTGCGTTGTTTGTGAGTGCACAGCATTGTATAAGTGATATCACTAGACAAGTCCTCGAGTGGAACTCGAAAGGGAAGCGGCGAGTTAGTTGTCCAAGGGTGACTTGGAGGAGGTCATGTGAAGAGGAGATGAAAACGTGCGGACAGACTTGGAGCCAGGTGAAGACTCTAGAAGAGAACCGAACGCAATGAAGACACACGGTTGAAGCCCTATGTTTCTCTAGGAATTAAAGGAGATAATAATAATTTGGGTAGAAGACAAATAAACACTTACTTCTTTCTCACAGATGAGTGTTTCATTTTCTTGTCTTTTTCTTTGCTATAGTTTCTGGATAAATCCTTTTGGATATCCATTATCTCTTAGGTATTCCTCAACAAAGTCTAATTCCTCTCTTCCAGCTTGTTGGCTGAAGATAGCTTTCTGGATATATCATAGAATGTCTTCACTAATCCTTGCGTATAACTGATAGGATAGAAGCTGTTATAATGAAGATATTGTTCGGCCTAGTTTTCTTTTCTACAAATGGACTCTTTGATAATACCACCGTTTCTTCTTCTTCACAATATTAAGAAGATCCAGGAAACGGAACTCACCATTATGTTCATATTCCCTGATGAATTATATATAGTGTAACTTACAAATGGTTAATCTAAGTTTATATTTCAGATTTATTTTATTCAATTTGATGCACTACTATTATTCTACTTATATCAGTTTGTCAATCAAAGTTACTGATGTGTCTTGTATATTAGCTACCTTAAATAAGTATGATTGACTGAATTCCCACTGTAGAAGTCTTCAAAAAAGTGAAGTAATTCAAGTTGTCACATTTTATTAGAGCAAATATAATAATCGAGGCAAAAAGTGCGAAGAAGCTATGATAAATGGCAGTGTATGCGAGAGAGAGAACAAATAAATAGAGGCTAGTGATAATTCATTACGAGAGAATACATCTGGCCCATTGATATGGTGATCAATATCCAGTCTGAAAATAAACCAATCAGAATTAGCCTATGTAAAGTAACGCCCACTATTTTACTGATGATGATTATAGACTAATTAACATATCCTTGGTGATTTTTGCAGTCATACACTGTTGTGTGAATATATTCTTTCTGGCTATCTTCATGTGTTCCCAGTTATATAGTAGTGGCGATTTTATCAGGTAGACTTAGAACTCTGGTGGCATACACACACGCGGTATCTGCGATTACCGTGACCCAATACCAGTCGGTGCGTTTTTCTTATCCGGTAATTAATTGAGGAAATATATCAGTCATTTGAGCCATATCGTCAACAGTCTCAAATCATTAGTTCCTAACATCTCAATGGCCTCAAGTCAGGCAGTCTCTCTCTCTCTCTCTCTCTATATATATATATATATATAGCATCCCTTGGTCTACAGATCTTGTCCTCCCTGAATGAGTTTGTAGGTTGATATACCACCCTGATTCCTAATGTAGTTTACAAAATACCAGTAGATCCGGGGTAGTAACATTATATTGGGATATATGAATTTAACAAAGTTTAGAATAATTGACCCCACGAAGATAAGTAATTTAGATTATTTTATTTTAAAACTCAGCAATTGTAATGCATACATTAACACATACAGTAGGGTGGGGCAGAGTTACAATTCCAAAAAGTAGTGTAGGTTAGTGGAGAGAGAGGTTGATTATTTAATCTGTATCCATGCAAAAGAAATGACTCAACACCAATACCAGTACTCCCTGGTTTTCAATGGTTCTCTAACTGATATCAATCCGTGATCAACTCGTAAGAAAAGAAAATATTACTACCAATGAAATCAAGGGATAGGAAATAATGAAATTAATATAAACGAAGTTGGAAAGATATTATGTCGGTGTCTTGATATGATTATGAGCAGTAATAAATTATGCTTGAAGCGTCATCAGTAAATAATACTGAATCATTCACTCACTGTGTGATAAATAAACTCAACGATAGAATTACACCCTACCAAAATGACAATCAGTATTAATTTAAAAAGAGGACTGGTTTGATGAAAAGGAGTTAAGCATGCTTATACGAAAAAGACCTACCAATTCATTAGGTTTGCGACTTTTGGTTTGAGCCACACAGTGGAGTGTAGACTGCCCAAATAAAGTGAAACGGATATATGCGTTATATATATATCCCAATGAATGAAAATCAAAACGATATCGTTTTTACTGACGTTCCGCTATTTAATGCTGCTAGTAGCTTTGTCAAAGTATTATTAAACCGGAATTTACAAAATCTCAGCATATATATAACAAAGAGTTAAGAGGTGAGAAAATAGACTTAGGTCAAGTTAAAAGAACATATTGAAAGTCAAAATAACAATGAATATCACTAAACCAAATAACAAAGGTAATAGTACATCTGTTATGGTATCAAAACAAAGTTTACTAACTTGATCATCGTTCGTCAGTCTGGGGTCATTTTTTGTTGTCAAGTTGGTCAATTGGTAAAGATAACAAAATCAAGTGTAGATTGTTGGATTTGATCAGTGTTTAAAATTATAAAGGCAGTGTGTGTTTACATAGTGAACTTGCATATCACATTCGTGTTGATTTTGTCACTTCATGGGGGACGGAGGTGTTGTAATCAGGTCAGATTCTGTTTTAGTCCACCATTCCTACTCAGACAATTTGGATTCCGTTTGATATGAAGTGCTTCTGATATTAGACGTTCTTTGTGATTTCTGAAATGATTTTTCTGGATGATGATTTCAATATTGTCAAAATGAATTTTGTGGCCTGATTCTATAGCGTGTAGACCTATGGCTGATGACTTTTCAAGCTTTTCTAGTTCAACCGGATTTCTCGGTGGTCGAAGCGATACTCTACAGTATTCATTTCTTCTGATTTTGATTTCTCGAGATGTTTTTCCGGTGTATATCGCATCACACTCCAAGCATTTTATTTTTTAGATACAATTAGATAGAGAATCTTTAGGGATCTGGTCTTTTATATGAACAAGGTTGTTCCGTAGTGAGTCTGATGTTGTGAAGAAAACTCTAATGTTAAGCTGTTGAGTACTCTTCTAATATCGTCTGATGTCTCTGCTCTATATGGAATGACAACTGATGAGGTCCATATTTTCGGAATGTGTTTACGATCACCAGCTGATATCAGATACAGAGCCGATAGAAAACCATGGAGTATTGGACAGATGTTTCGCTCTAGTTCGGTTTTCTTCAATATATCCATCCACTGAATAGGGTTCAAACCCGAGACCATTCAGTCACTGGAGCCCCAACCCAATAACTAACCCATGAATTCCAAATTCTGCCAATCCATGATACAGCTAAACCACCAACCGAAATCATTAGTGAGTAACTGTCCTCATGCCTAACTTAGTGCACCTTACTGGTCACAACTTCTCACTAGAACTCCGGGTAACTTCCTGACAGTTGGTGGTGAGAATGAGATTAATTTTTCGACAACCTAGCTACTGAAGCTGAGAATGCAGCAGGCAAAATGGACCTAAGGACACTATATCAGATAACCAAGTCTCTATCCGGGAAGAGATCAACACAAGTGAAACCTATAAAAGACAGCCAAGGGAACCCAATTACCAAAGAAGAAAGACAGATTAAACAATGGGCGGACCACTTCAAAGGACTCTTGAACAGACCATCACCTACAACCCGTCCAGAAATACCAACAACAGCACGTACACAACTGCGGGTTGACACCAATCCTCCAACGAAAACTGAAGTCATGAATGGAATCAAGCTTCTGAAAGCTGGAAAAGCAGCCGGACCAGATGGAATACACCCTGAAGCACTGAAAGCGGACCCAGAAACGACAGCAGATATGCTGACTCCATTATTGCAAAAGATCTGGAAAGAGGGAAAGGTGCCTACTGACTGGAGGAAAGGTTACCTTGTGAAACTACCAAAGAAGGGCGACTTAGGACTCTGCAAGAACTGGCGAGGAATCATGCTCCTGTCGACGCCAAGTAAAATCCTGAGTCGCATCATCCTGGAGAGAATCAAGGACGCACTGGATACAGAACTCCGACCAGAACAAGCTGGATTCAGGAAAGGCAAATCATGTTCTGACCAAATTGCAACTCTAAGCATTATCATCAAACAAAGCATGGAATGGCAATCAAATCTCTACCTCAACTTTATAGACTTTGAGAAGGCCTTCGACAGCGTCGACCGCGAAGTAATTTGGAAACTACTCGAGTACTACGGCGTACCCCAAATATTCATCAACCTTATTCAACAACTGTACGACAACGGCACAATGGAAAACTCAGCGAGGTGTTTGGAGTAAACACAGGAGTCAGACAAGGGTGCTAGCCTATTATCACCAATGATATTCCTAATTGTAGTGGACTGGATTATGCGTCAGACAGTGGGAAACGAGGAGACAGGGATATCCTGGACCGACGTGAAGAACCTAGAAGACCTGGATTTCGCCGATGATTTATGTTTGATGTCACACAAAATCGAAGACTTACAAGCGAAAACCGACAAACTGGTCGAAGAAGCAGCAAAGACAGGACTCCAGGTGAACATAGACAAGACGGAGGTTATGAAAATAACCAACCAACAACAGCAACATCCAGCGCCAATCACCATCAAAGGGAAGGATTTGAAAGAGGTTACTTCTTTCACTTATCTGGGGAGCATTGTCTCAACCACAGGAGGAACGGACGAGGATGTCAAATCGAGAATCGGGAAGGCGAGAAACACATTCATCAACCTGAAACCAATCTGGAAATCTTCGTCACTCAGCATCAACAACAAAATACGGATTTTCAATACAAACGTCAAGTCAGTTTTGCTATACGGATCAGAAACTTGGCGGGTCACCAAGAATATTTTCAACAGGCTGCAGACCTTTATCAACAACTGTCTTCGTTCTATACTGAAGATTAGATGGCCGGAAAGAATCACAAACAAGAAATTATGGGAACAAACAAAACAGGAACCAATCACCCAACAAATATGCAGGAGAAAGTGGAGATGGATTGGACACTCGCTGAGGAGGCCGTTGGGTGACATCGCGCGTCAGGCCATAGCTCGAGTGGAACCCGAAAGGGAAGCGGCGAGTGGGACGTCCAAGGGTGACATGGAGGAGATCGTGTGATGAGGAACTGAAACAGTATGGATTAACACGGATGCAAGTGAAAAGTACAGCACAAGACAGAAGCAAGTGGAGGCGTGCAGTTGAAGCCCTATGTTCCACTAGGAACCCAAGGGAACAATAATAATAATAATTGGTTTGCAGGGATTTAATTGGTTATAGGTTTGATTACTAGCTGATATTAGTTAGAGAACCACTAGGAGTCAGCAAGGAGTACCAGACAGTTGTTTCGTCAAAGTTTTGAACTCTTCACATGCATGCATATTGTTCCGCTACAACTATATATACTTTTTACTGTATACTTTTAACAGCTTCAACAAGTCATCAAGAGGACAAAACAAATTTTAGATGCTCAAGAAATCACTTTAAACTCTATATCATTTGATACTACACAAAACAACAATGATGATGGTGGTGATAATGAAGACATGACATCGTGCAAACAGCCAGCAAACAATGCCGCAGAATATCATGATGAAATAAAAAGCATAGAAGTGAACGAGAAGAGGGAGAAGAAGACGAATGAGGAGACATTTAGTCGTCCACTGTCAAAAGTATGTACACTAAGCGAAAGTAAATCTCCAGAATTATCAGAAAAGTTATTATCATTATGTAACACAATCATTTCACCTGATCTTTGTTATAAACAACAAACATCATCAACACCATCACATAATTCTACTATTTCATTCATGCATATTAATAATAACGATAAGTGTATTGAGAAGAAATTCAAGGAGAATAATCTACAACCAGCATTCATTGAAAATTCCCCTCAAATTAATGATGAAAAGGATAAAGGCGATACAGAAGAGGAAGAAGAAGAGCAACAACAACAACAAAATGAAAAAGATGAAGGAGGAGATAGGGAAGATACTACTGAATATACTACTAACACATCTGTTTCAGATGAGAATAACAGACTTCAAAGAGGTATGAATTATTTCTTTTAGTAAATATAGTTAGTTATAAAAGAGTGAATCAACAGTGAGTGATCAAAGAATATTCTATTCGATAACTTCTTGGCCATCAGGTTCTAGGGTTATATAATGTAATCAAAGAATTATTTACGCAACACATTTCGAACAATCTGATCACACACGGACTTGTCATAGGAATATATATGAAATTAATAAAGGGATAAGAGGTAAGAAAATAGACGAGTTAGGTCAAGTTAAAAGGACATACTAAAGGTCAAAATAACAATGAAGATCACTAAACCAAATAATAAAGGTAATAGTACATCTGCTACGGTATTAAAACAAAATTTACCAAGGAAGGTTTAGTGTGATGATGAATTGCTGCTTTGAACGCATAAAGGTGGTTTAAACTTTCTAATTGCTAGCTAGGGCTTCCACAAACTTTAGGATACGCCCCAAACACGTTTTATAGACAGGTTTAAAAGATCTGTTAACGTCAATTTTATTTCCTATCTCTATAATATGTTTCGCAATAGAGGAGCTAGGTCTCCTATTCTCACCATTAATGGGTTCTGAAGATTCCATTTGTTTCTGGAGCCATTCAGGAATATGCTCTGAAGTCAGCCCTTACTTGCAGAGATCTATGAGTCGTCCCTGTATGTATGTGTGTCCACACGTACATTCAAATTGGTAAATACAATGGGATGTGACGTCATTTTTCGCATATTCGAAGGGCTTAGATAGATATATTGGCTTCACATCCTCAATTATTATGATATTAGCTGCATTAAAAGTCTTTTAAACAGCAGCGTTCATTCTTTGTCTAGTTATCAAGCTGCTTTGATGTCCTATATAGGGTAGCTTAATGTACACATGTTTCTTAGGGGCAATTTGTAGAGTGGGTCTTGGTCTTCCACTGACCACTTTATATCTCCTGATGTACTTGTCTGGATAATTATTATCAACCAGAGTTTGTATCAAATTTCTTTCTTCTTCATCAAGTGTGTCTTCATTGCATATTCGCTGGATTCTACTGAAGAGGCACCTTACTAAGGCTCTTTTGTACCGATCAGGGCAGAAACTGTGGTAATTAAGGTACTGGTAAATTTTGATTTGATACCATAGCAGATGTACTATTGCCTTTGTTATTTGGTTTAGTGATCTTCATTGTTATTTTGACCTTCAGTATGTCCTTTTAACTTGACCTTAGTGTGTATTTTCTCACCTCTTAGCTTTTTATTAATTTCATATATGCACATTCCTATGACAAGTCCTTGTGTGATGATGAGATTGTTCGAAATGTGTTGCGCTCAAATACATTGCAACACGATTCAAACAAATTACGTCTTCTTCAAACTGCTTTATCTAAATTCATAAAGGGAACTAATTGTTTTAAATCAAAGAATCATTATTGTTATCAACAATACACTGATGGTTTAGACAACACAATAAATCAATGATACTGAAAGATTACAGCTCAAAAGCATGATTGAACGATAATATGCATAAATATGTAATAATAATAAACTGAATATCAGATAGATGAGGAAACAGAATAATAGAGAATTTATGAATTTATAAGTTCCACAACAGTCTAGGATAGCCATAGTGACCGGACCTGCCTCTTCTGTATCCAAGGCTCCGGTTGTTGTCTATCTATCATCTGTGGAATACGGAATAAAGACCCTAGATACTAAACACTCCAAACGTCATAGGCCTTTGAGATTCGCTTGAAACAAACTGAGCTCTGTGTGTATGCCAAAGAAACAGGTCCAGTCCCTTTGTTATGTTAACCCGCTGTATATCATATTATTAGTATTCCCTTGGGTTCCGAGTGGGGCATAGGGAGGGCTTCAACAACACATCTCCACTTTGTTCCGTTATCTGCTGTCATATTCAGCTGGGTCCACGATTGCCCAAAACTCTTCCATCTCTTCCTCACACAATCTCCTCCACGTCACCCCCACTCATCGCTTCCCTTTTGGATTCCACTCGAGGGCCTAGCGTTCATTCGGTGGCCTCCTCAGTGTATGCTCCATCCATCTCCATTTTCTCCTACATCTTTGTTGAGCAATCGGCTCTTGATTGGTTGGTTGCCAGAGTTTCTTGTTATTGATTCTTTCTGGCCGACTGGCCATTTGATCTTCAGTATGGAGCCAACAAAGGCAGTTGTTGATGAAAGTGTGCAATCTGTTGGAAATCCTTTTCGAGACGCCACTGGCAAGTTTCTGACCCATATAGAAGAAGTGACTGACTTGACATTGGTGTTGAAAATCCGAATCTTGTTCTTTATGCTGACTGGTTGAGTTAATGCAGAAGATTTCCAAACTGATTTCATATTGATGAAGGTGTACCTCGCCCTTCTGATTCTGTCTTGCTGGCTTTGACATCTTCATCCGTGCCAACCGACTGCCTGTGGTTGAAGCAATACTTCCTACATAAGTGAAGGCAGGAAGTAACCTCTGTCAAATCTCTCCCATTGATGGTGATTGGTGCTGGTTGTTGTTGTTGTTGTTGCTGTTGGTTGGTTGGTTGGTTGGTTGGTTATCTTCATCACCTCCGTCTTCTCTATGTACCTTTAAATTCATAAATTCTATATTATTTTTATCAATTTATCTGATATTAAGTTTAGTGTTACACATTGACGCATATTATCACCCAGATGTTTTCGAACTGTAATCTGTCGATACAAGCATTTCAATATCATGGAGGATTTCATCATGAGCCGACATCAGTTAGAGAACCACTGGAAAGGCTGGGAGTACTTGAGAGCTGTTTCGTCCTAGTTTGGGGTTCTTCAGCACTACGCACCCACCGCGACGGTTCGAACCCACGACCTTCTAGTTACAAGGCGAAATGGTCGCGCTATGTCGTGAATTGGCAGAAGTTAGAATTCAAGGACCATTGGATCGGGCCCCAGTGGCTCAATGGTCTACGAGCTAGCTCGTCTTGTAACCAGAAGGTCGTGGGTTCGAACCTTGGCGGTGGGTGCGTAGTGCTGAAGAGTCCCAAACTAGGACGAAACAGCTGTCCAGTACTCACAGGTTTTCCAGTGGTTCTCTAACTGATGTCAGCTCATGATGAAATCCTTCATGTAATCAAACAAAATCCCTACAAAACCAATACTTTGACATTTCAATATCATTTAAAAAACACTAATATTGTTAATGATAATGATAATAATGTGTTTTGATATTATGGATATAAAATTGTAGAACCTGATGAAGAAGAAGAAGTTATCTAAAAGATTATTTTTTGTTCATTAGTCAGTCAATCGTTAATCAACTATTTGTGTAATTTTTTTTTACTATTCAGTACTTTTCTAAGCTTTGACAGGCTGATACGCCTACGATTGATTATTAACACAGTTGGAAGTTGACGATATACCTGCAATCAATCCTGTTACAAAGTTTATCGTGACTGACTGGTTTCCACGTACAACTTTGCATAGACAGATGTATAACAGTTCTAGTTGTCACTCTCCCTTCATGGAGTATACAAAGCAAGAGAAGACAGTAAAGAGAGATTCAAGAGAGAAACAATAATAAACAGAAGTATCAATGAGAGAAAAAGAATAGTAATATTTGAAAACAATAGAATTTTATTGGATAGGATAAAATCACAAAGAGTGAATGCATCTGAGCCATCATCGAGAGCGATTTTCAGCCTGAGGACCCCCAAGAGGCCAATCAGTCTATACCTTTCTACGTGGCTGGCTAACTTAATTTAACTGTTCAGGATTTTATTGACTAGTGAGGCCATGTTTTGTTTTCACCACTACTAACTGGCTCTTTTCCAACCTGATCCTATGTCAGTCAGCTAACATTGACTGTCGAGGAAGGTGATGGTTAGACATGCATGAATAACACTTGTCTTAACCATATCTCTGTCAGTCAATGTAACCTCACAACCTTGTCAATTGATTTCCCCAAACATCTACCTGGCACTGGATCGATGGCTAACCTCAATATTGCTCACCCTGTTATACCACCACCCAATATGGGAGATCGAAGCCAGACATCTATGATCAAAGACAGCCAGCCATCCTTTTCATTTCTTCCACTTTCAATGGTAATGTCTCACCGACAGCCATAAAGGAGGACAGAGCGAATTGCTGAGCAGTACACACATCCTTTGGTCGATGATAGCCAAGCGGATATCATGTCTACTAAGCCTGAGATGGCGTAAGTTGGCATATGCCAAGCGAGCCTTCTGTATCATTGTATCTATCCTAGACTTGAAGATAAGTGATAGAACTGTGATGGACTGTTACTATCTCCCACTACTGTGCTAGTTTGATTAAACACTACTTATAATGTATAATAACTACCGTTATTTGGTGGATGGTGACTATCAGTAATGATATCCAAGATGGGCATTTCCCTCCTATTTGATACTCGTCATCTGGATGTACTTGCGTTTTCCCCTGCAAGTGATGGCATTTCCAATGAGACTCGAACAACATCGTTCATTAGGGATTGCAGGCACATTGTGATCGGATGAAGAGTCCAAAAAGGACGAAATGCGCATTGTGAATCCCACCACTGCTAGTCACCATCTCTACTAAACTACTTTAAGTTAAGTTAATCAGTCCACAGACATCGTCAAAGCGTCCGTACCAGGAGTGAGCCGTCAACAGAGACCGAACATTTTGGTCGAATCAATCAACGGGGAAATCAAAAATTGATTTAAACAACCAACGAGGAGAAGAAGATCACTTCTCAAGTTACCACATTTTGTAGCCACAAATAACAAAAGAAAAATGCCAACAGAAATTAAATAATATTAAAATGTAGATATATATAAGTAATCGTTTTTAGTCATTCATGCGATCGCTTAACTGGCACATGAATTTAGTTGACACATGCTACCGTTTTTTTACCCGCATACAAAATAAATACAAAAAACTTTACCTGTATAAACGATTGAGGTACTTGTAAAGTATACTTTGATTGAACACTGTTTAGTAACTAGTTTAATGTGTCTACTCTCCTTTCTTTGATCCAGGCTGGA